AAAAAAAAAAAAAAAAAAAAAAAAAAGCTAGCACACAACAGAGAATCAAAACCTACAGAGAATGCTCAGGGAAGCCTAGCAGAGAAAACAACCTCTATGCTGAGTTCATGGAAGCTGAATATTATGAATTGAAAAGCATAAAGAAGTTGAAGGTAGCTAGGGGACAGAATGCAGGAAAAGTAGAATAAAATGCTGAGAGATGATGCTGGAACCCAAAGCAGACAGCAGGTCATGGAAACTCCAAGACACATTAGGAATGTCAGGCTTTCCTTGGAAAGCACTCAGAATTCTTTAAAAGTTTCAAGCACAGAAATGGATGGCAAGATCAGATCTGCATTTACAAAGTTCAGAGATTTAAGCACCACAAAAGGGCAAGCTAAGAGGCTGTTGTGATTCTACAGGTGAAAAGTTATGACAGCCCAGACTGGAGAAGGATTTGGGGAAGGAGAGAAGTAAAAAGACTCAAGAGAGATTTCTTAAGGAAAGAAAATTGAGCTGGGAGGTAATTAATGTGGGAAATAAGGTACAAAGATGAGTTAAGGATGACTCCATGTTTTACGTTTATTTAGACCCCAGTATTTGCATCCGTGGGATTCTGAGCATCCAGAAACAGGTCTATAGAAAATAATCATAAATCCCATTTTGGCAAGTAGAGTAGCTACACTAAAAAGGTTAAAATAATCAGGTTAAATTAATTTTAGTAATATATTCAGCCCAATCTTTCCAAAATATTATTTCAATATGATCAATATAAACAAATCATTGATATATTTTGCATTCTTTTTTTATATGAAGTCTTAGATATATGGCAGGTAATTCACTCTTAGGGCACATCACACTTTGGACTAGGGGGATCTAAAAATAGCACACAACAACCTATTGATCATATTGTACTTGTTTCGTGTAATTATATCTACACACACACAAAAATGTTTACCTGAAGTTTGGGATATATAAATTCAAGAACTATGTGGGCCATTTTATCATTATAGGAACCTGAAGAAAAACAGTCACTGGCATGTATTTCTGTTATGAGGTCCTGACTTACATTGGCAGAACTAACACCTCCCCTGTCTCACCAGGAACACTGAGGTTATAGAGGGAAGTTGGTAGAAGCAGAAGCTGGGAAAGGAACGCTATCCAGAATACCTGTGGCTTCTACAGAAAGCATGTTTTCAGAGCCGATGAGAGAGAAAACAGTATAACCAGCACTCATGCAGATCAAGTATGCTGTCATTTTAACAAAACATAAACTAGACTCTGCCTTGTAGAGAGTGGCAGTTTTTTCTTCACCTGAATATTAAATTGTGTGGCCAACTTCAAATATTTAAGTACTTCTGTCAGCTCAGCTGTTGGCTTTGAGTCATAGGAACCAGTAAAGCAGGAAGTGCCAGAAAGGTAAGCACCTTCAGATTTAAGGTAGTGAGGGACAGGAATAGAAATTTGCCAACGTCAAACACAGAACTTATAGTGAAAATGGACCAGACGGGGGGCCTACCAAGGAAAAACTCACATTCCAAGAGCTTGGTTATTAGCAAAGGGGGAAGAGGATGTCTTGTTTATGCAGCTATGTAAAGCCTCACTCCCTGCCCTCTCAGGACCTCTTGCTGCGGGAGGGAGGTAAGGGTTGAAAGTGAAGACAGCAGGGTGCTTATGCCATATTAGATCTCCATCAACATGCAACCCCAAAAGATCATGACTGTGAGAGCTTTGTAAATCAACTCTTAGGGTGCTTGCCCCAGGGCAAATAGCACAACAAATTAATCCCTTCTCCATGAAATGCAGCAAAGTTTGTATCTATGCTGAATTCAAATTGCTCATTAGCTCTGACATGTTCCTAATGAGGTTATAATGCTTTGGGACAAAGATCAAGCCACTGAGTGCAAATAACTAGGGATAGAATCATAGAAAGATAAAATTAGAAGGGCCTTAGAGGAGTGCCTCTCAGACTTTAATATAAATCACCTGGGCACTGTAATTCAGGACAACTGGGGCCCAGTCCGAGATTCTGCATTTCTAAGAAAATCCTGGTGCTGCTGCTGCTGGTCCACGGACAACACTTTGAGCAGCAAGGCCTTAGAGATCATCTCATTCAGTTGCCTCTCCTAGAGGTGAGAACATCAGCGCCAAGAGACTTGTAACTAGAAGCAGGCTGAGACTTCCAGGTGGCTAATTAGGGTCAGTTGGGTACTTGCCCATAGATCTGTGAGTCAACCTGAACATTTTAAATAGAATCTAAGGATTAGAGTGACCAATCATCCTAGTTGACTGAGGAAGTTTTTGGAACATAGAATTTTCCTTTTTAAAACAAGAAAAAATCCAGGAAAACTAGGATAAGTTTTTCATCCTGCCAGACCCTTTTGAATCTACTTAAAATACAGCATCAGGCTTACATTTTTCTCGACCTTGTCAGTTCCTAAGTGGTGGGATCATGACCTGCTGCCAAGGCAAGAACCTTAATATCCCGTCCCAAAGATCTCAGAGAGCAAATGCACAAACAAGGTTGAGGCTCTACAGAGCCTACTGACAAGTGCCTCTGCAAGAGACAGCCTACCAGTAGATCTCAAAGTAAAGCGTAATAAAGGACTACCAAGATCATGCAGAAATAAATATTATAGGAGCATATAATGTACCTTTTAACTATACAAATCTATTTTCCTCATTTGATAAATGCATGTAAGAAATAAATCACTAATTTTTATAACTCTCGAAACACTCATTTAAAACATCTTTGGTAAAAACACTAAAATAATAAAAATCAGGCTGCATCCTGAGAATAAAGAAAAAATCATGCTCTACCCAATCAGAACGATTAGAAATCAAAATATATCCCTAGATATTATTATTTTACTCACTGGAATTGGTCTCACTATCATTAGGTAGAAAAATGAACTCTATAGAAAGGAAAAATAAAAAATCTGCAGACTATTCAGTGCTAGCAGTGCATTGCTAAGGCTTCCAAACCAGAATGCCAAAGCACTATTCCATATGCATTCAAAACACAGAGTCAGTACAGTCCTAATCACAATGATTCTCACTCCCTGGAGTTTACCTGTTCAAATAAGAGGCCAATGTAGTCTGACCGAATTATGTGACTTAATATTCATGGAATTAGGACACTTAAAGGAAGAAAAGAAGTGTGGCTAAATACATACAATGCATTTGGAATAAGTAAAAGACAGAACCTTAGACACTCAGCAATCATTACCTGGAAATTAAAGAGGGCAGGAGCAATCCCACAATGCATTATAAACAGCCCAGCTGCTGACTTAATGGTAGTTTGAGTAGCATAACCGAGAAGTCCTTGCTCCAACATTAATAGGAAATGTATTGTAGGAATCCAATAGTTCATGAAATTAACAAGGAAAATGAACTGAAGTGAAGCAACTTTGCAGGTAATAGGAGGTATCAGCAATTGCTTTCCCGGAGTATACTGAACACTTAAAAAGAGCTTGGGAAGAGTACATGTATATAAATGAGAGTGTACATTATTAGAATTTTTAAATAATACTTTTAATTTATTTCAAACCCTCTGTTGGTTGTAGGTCTCTTTAAGAAGAAGTTATGGCCGGGCGCGGTGGCTCAAGCCTGTAATCCCAGCACTTTGGGAGGCCGAGGCGGGTGGATCACGAGGTCAAGAGATCGAGACCATCCTGGTCAACATGGTGAAACCCCGTCTCTACTAAAAATACAAAAAATTAGCTGGGCATGGTGGTGCGTGCCTGTAATCCCAGCTACTCAGGAGGCTGAGGCAGGAGAATTGCCTGAACCCAGGAGGCGGAGGTTGCGGTGAGCCGAGATCGCGCCATTGCACTCCAGCCTGGGTAACATGAGTGAAACTCCGTCTCAAAAAAAAAAAAAAAAAAAAAAAAGAAGAAGTTATTAGCCCAAAATGTTAATAAGAGGTCACAGGCTATGAGATCTGGTCCAGGAATCCAGGAATGTTGCAAGTTAACTGCCATTTAAGTCCACTTCAAACTACTATACACTCATGATTCAGCAGCTGTCAAAATTATTCCCATTTCACTTCAGTAGAGCTACATACTTCAAATAATCTAGAAAACAATTTCCCTTCTATAAGCCTCAACAGCAGGAATAACAGATGCATGCTCATCAGCATGCTAAAAAGTATAGTTAACTCCACTTACAAACCAATTGACATACGATGAAAAAGAACACCTCCTCCACAGGCACTGCCATGGACAACACGACCAAAGCTTGCATTGACCGAACAAGAAGCTGAAAGCGTTTCCATAGAAGCAAGAATGTGACTCCTATTTTTCCCAGACAGAGACCCATCCAAGTCTTCCAAAATTGCTGCATGAGGAAACGGAAATGCCACTAAGTTTGAAGAGTTTGTAAACTTCAACTGGCTAGTCTTCACAGTAAATCCACCTATAAATTGGAAGACAGAAAGATTATTACACAATGGCACAAATAGCAACTAAATTCACTGGAGTAATGGTCTCAGGATTTAAATTGCATAGTTATCCAGTTTTACAATTCACCTATTCACACAAGAAAAAAGGTGTTTTCTGTGGGTGTTTTACAGTGAGTGTTGACTATATGCCAAGCTCTGGTATATGCTAGAGATACTAAAAGGTATAAGAGCAGCATTGGCCCTACCTTCATGTGGTATATAGTTCACATTGTAGGGCAGTGATTTTTCTACCAGGGTTGGTTTTACCTTCCAAGCAACATATAGAACTAATTTCAATCATTTTTGGCTCTCACAACTGGGGAGCTGGCAGTGCTACTGGCAGCTAGTAGGTAGAAACCAGAGATTCTGCTAAATAGCCTACAATGCACAGAATAATCCCCACAACAAAGAGTTATCTGGCCCAAAATGCCAATAGCGCCAAAGGTAAGAACCTCTGGTCTAGTTGGAAATAGAAACAGAACACATCAATTTATTACTTACTAAACACTAAAGATGCTATGGTTTAGTCTTCCAATCTTTCTGCTTCCATTCCTCTGTGATGAGTCTAAACCCTCCAATACCTCTTACTATGAGGTTCATACTTTAAACATTTACCTTCAACAGCAAAACTCAATTAATCACTTAGGCAAATAGTTTTAGTAATACACTTTCTAAGTATTAGCTCTAGGGCCACACTTCTTGGTAGTCTTTCCCCAATACTACCCCCATGTGATTCATTGGTACTGTCAGTCCAATTGCCTAGAAAGTATGGCAGTGATCTAATTCACACACCCATGTCATTAAAAGAAGAAAACTGAGTACACATCTCCCAGTACATATACTACCATACCATAATGTATTGTGTGCATTATAAAATACACAAAAAAGAAAAGAAAATAAGATACACATAGAGGCTCTAATGTTTTCATTCTGTGTCCCAATAGAGTACATGCAGTGAATTAATTCATGCATGAAAGTCTACACAATTGCACCTCTTGCAACTTCTGTATTTCATTTAATACCACAAACCACCTGCAGCTCTACATTTCAGTCATATTGGACTTCTATGTGATTTTCCAAGCAAACTTGCTTCTTGGATACTATTTCTTTGAGTATACTGTTCCTTTAAATTCTTCTTTCATATACCTTCTTGCAAACTTCTATTCAACTTCCCAAACCCTACTCAGGAATACCCTCTATGAACTCTTGCCTGACCCCCTTTCTTGGCCCCTTCACTGACTTTGTTGAGTCCTCTCGTACTGCGTTCATCATGCTCTCTTACAATAATGGGCTTGGACATTTATTTTTGTGTCTAGATCAAGAGTTCCTGGAGGACAGAAACTATGTGTTTTTCATATTTGCACCCCCTAGGTCTTTAAGCACAGCCTGAAATAGACAGCTTTAAGCAACTGAAGAGAGGGTGTAGCCAATATTTATTCCATGAAGAGGAATTGGAGCTCATAGAAGTAGTGTGATTTTTTTCAATGTCTCATGAATTATATGAAATAGTGAAGATTTAAAGAATTAAGGAATTGTGATTGCAAGCACTTGTTATGAGGCATTTTTATTTCCATTACTATTTCTACAATCCTAAACTCAGATGCCACCCAAATAAAAAAAAAATCTTTCATTCTGCCTACGTAGGAAAAAAAAAAGTCAAGTGGAGACTTGCTGATTATTCATTTAATTAAAAAAAAACAAACAATTATCTAAATTGGTGATTCAAACCACAAGAGCATATTTATTTGAATTACTTGGTTTGGCTGTTTACAATGATTAAATCAACTAGATTACTCTCTACCTCTTCCACCTTGGCCCATGAGTCCTCCAAGTTATTTCTTACCACCTCTGAGATGTGGTTAAAAAGTGAGCAAGAATTCATGTTTCCCTTTGTGCATACATCAAGCAATGGGCTGTTGAAAACCTTAAGTACCTAAACTTTGGCTCTTTCAGGAAAGGTTGTATGCATGTTAGTTTATACCCAGGTACCTACCCATCTAACTCCATTCATTCATTTAATCAATGAACTGCCTCCTAGGCACCTGGCTCTGTGCCAGGTACTAGTAATAAAACTCTGAGGAAGAAAGACATGATCTTTGCCTTTATGAAGGTCAGAGTCCAGCAGAGACATAGGACCATAATGATAGAATGTGATAGGCACCACAATAGGAGGAGGACAGGGAGCTGCAGAAGCTGCATTGGGAGAACCTCCAGGATTTCTTTTAGGAGATTTAAGCAACAGTTTCTACTGACGCAATCTTATAACTGAAAGAAATAATGATTCACAAAGTATGTGCCACTATTTATAATACTGATTTGAATATTGGCCTTATTTATCATCTGTTCTGTCTATTCAAATAATTACCTTGTCCTCGGGAACAGCCTGAACAGGTTCTAATGGCCACACAGTTGATGAGATCAAAATTAACAAAGGTCGTGTTAGACACCATCAGTTCCCATCTTTTAGGAGTTTTAATCCCAGATGACATACACAGGCTTCCCTGTAATTTAAAAGAAAAAAATAAAAAAAGCAAAATAAGAAAACTGGACACAAAATACAATTAATAATGCATTAATAAAAACAAGGATTAAAAAAACAAGCTGTTGACTAACAGAAAATATTTGCTAATCACATAAATGACAATGGTCCTGTATCCAGAATATAGAAAGAATTCTTAAATTACAACAGACAATCAAAAAATCAGAAAAAAAAACCTTCAAAAGATAATCCAGCAAATAAAATATGCAGACAACAAATAAGCACAGGGAAAAAAAAAATGTTCAACATCATTATTCACTAGAAAAACACAAATTAAGATCACAAGAAAATATACTATGCACCTATTATAATGGATAAATGAAAGTATAGTGACAGTAGCAAGTGCTGATGAGGATGAGAAAGAATTAAAACTCTCCTGTGTTTCTAGAGGAATGCAAAATGAGACCACCACTGTGGAAAAGTTTGGCAGTTTCTTAGAAAGTTAAATATGCCCTTATCGTATGACCTAGCAATTCAACTCCTAGATATTTACCTTAGAGAAATAAAAACTTACATTTATATAAAAATCTGATGCAAATGTTTATAGCAGTTCCATTTATAATCACCAAATCTGGAAACAAGTCAAATGCACCTCAACAAATGAATGGATAGACAAACTGTGTTACATCGATCTAATGGAATACCATTCATCAGTCATAAGGAATGTAATATTGATACATGAACAAGTTAGATGAATCCCAATGGCATTCAGGAGTGAAAGAAGCCAGTCTCAAAAGGTTACATACTTTATGACTCCATTTATATGATTGTTGAAAAGGCAAAACTATTGTGATACAAAATAGATTAGTGATCCCCAGTGTTTTAAAGTAGGAGGAGGCTGTGGCTACAAAGATGGAACTAGGAACTGGGGCAGATACAACTGTTCTGTGTCGTGATTGTGGTGGTGGTAGTTATACAAATGTGTACATGTGTTAAAGCTCATAGAACTGTATATCAAAAAGCAGCTTTGCAGTATATTAATATATTTTAAGAACTTTAACAATAAGTCTGAAAAGACAAAAACAATAAATGTTTTTATAATTTTCCACAAAATCTTTTTGACAAACACTATCCGATCAAGTTGCTAGTGCCTCACTGTTCCATTGTTAAGAATAGCCTTATAATTGAGGATTACCAGAAATTTTTCAAGAGCTCTCAACATGAAAAACAGTGAAACAATAAACAAATAACAGAAAGAAACCCAGTAAACAAAAAGTTAGTCTAGAAATCAGAAGAAAACAAAAACTGTAATTAATGGCCTCAGAGAAATAAGTATATTATATCCACGAAACAGAGAAGCCTAAAAAATGATTTTTAGAAAAAAATAAAAGAAATAGAGTAGAAAAATGAAATTCTATATCATAGAAAGTAGAACAAAAAGACAAAGAGATAAAAAATCAGTGAGAACATTAAGATGAGAAAAACATTCCAGGAGGCCCAATATTTAAATAATCATAGTTTTAGGGAAAAAAAGAAAATATAGGGGAAAGAATTATCAAAGAAATAATTGAAGAAAACTGTACAGAAGGAAATAATATAATTTTCCAGACTGAAAAGTCCCACTCAATATCTAGCACACTGTTTAGAAAAAGAGCCACAGCAAAATGCATCATATTGAAATTGCAAAACACCAGGGACAAAGAGACATTCCTAACAGCTTTCAGAAAGAAAACAATAGAAGGTTACATATAAAAAACCTGGAATCTGAGTATCCCCTTTTTTTTTTTTTTTCTGAGACAGAGTCTCATTCTGTTGTCCAGATTGGAGTACAATGGTGTGATCTCGGCTTTCTGAACATCTGCTTCCTGAGTTCAAGCGAGCCGGGACTCCAGGCACATACCACCATGTCCAGCAAATTTAGAGAAAGGGTTTCACCTGTTGGCCAGGCTTGAACTCCTGACCTCAGGTGATCTGCATGCCTCAGCCTACAAAGAGCTGGGATTACAGGCATGAGCCACTGTGTCCGGCCCAGAATCTGAGTATCTTAAAACTATTCAAACTTAAGAGCAGAAGGAACTAGAAGATGATGAAATAATTGCCTTCAACATTTCAAGGCAAAATGAACTTCAACCTGGTATCTTATAACCAACAGCCTACTAATAAATGCGTCTCCATACATAGCTCAGAGCTTTTACCTTACATCATTCGGTTTTTTGTTGTTGTTGTTGTTGTTTTTAGAAATTTACCTTTGGTTATGTTCAAACAAAATGAGGAATTAAACCAGAAAGGAGGAAGATGTATGAATCAGAAACAAGAGTTCCAATACTAGACTGACATGAAGGAAATTGTCCAAGGGAGCTTCCAAGACCTAGCTTTGAAACCCTTCTTATACTTGCTGGCGCAAGCATAAACACTGGATTGTTGCTTGGCATTATCCACTAAAGCTACAGATGATTCAGCAATTTTACAACTTGGCTTGTATTCAACAGAGATGCATGCACATGAAGACCAGAGGCATATGGAATAATATTTATAGCATCATTATTTGTAAATAACCAAGTTTACAAATGATGAAAACAATGTAACATCCATCAATAGCTACGTAGCTTTAAAAAAAATTGAGATGGAGTCACAAAATGGAATACTACCTAATGATTGGAAGAAGAAATAACTGTAACACACAGAAACATGAGTGAATCTCACAGATATAATGTTATAACAAAGAAGACAGGTACAATAGAGTTACATGCTTTAGGATTTCATTTACACAAACTTCAAAAACAGGAGAAATTAATATATATCAATAGAAGGCTGAATAACGCTGCCCCTTTATCTAGGGAGCATGGAGTAGGGTTGAATGGGGAACACAAGGAAGGGAAGCTTTAGAGGAGCTGATAATGTTCATTTCTTTACTACTAGCTTTTATTTTTTAGAGACAGGATCTTGCTCTGGCAATGCTCTATTTCTTGTTCTCAGTTGTATACATAAACATCATTGGTTTGCTTTGTAAAAATCCCCTGAGCTATTCCCCTGTGATTTGTGTACGTTTCTCTATAAATGTTATATTTCCATGAAACATTTACCTTAAAAAGTAGGACAAATACAAGAGAAAGGTAACATAGAAGATGAGAGGGTAAGGAAAGAAGCTAAAGGAGTTTAATGTCCTTGCATTGCTTACGTAAAGTTTAACAGAGCTGATGTAACTTAGACTTTGTGAAGACAAGCAGGCACATTAAAAATTTAAGGCCAACAATGGAAATAATCATAACAGAATGGATAACTTTCAAATGAGTCAATGTAAAAAGATACTATGCAATGCAAGAAAAATAAAAATAGAAAAGAAGAAAAAAACACAGAAACCAAAAATGGATTACAAACTCAAAGTGCACAATAAGATGGTAGAAATAAATGCAAATATATGGGAGACATCAGCATGTGGATGGTAATTGAAACCACTAGAGAAAATGAGATTTCTCCCAGGGAGAGCTAGTATATTGAGAAGAAAAGGGGCCCTACAACAGAATTTAGGGAAACAAAAAGATGAAGGGTCTAAATTGAAGAAGACAAATCCACAAGTGAAAATGGGAAATCACCCTAGAGAAATAGGAGGAAGAATAAAGCAACTCCATCAGCATCTGTCTGAACAAGACATTTTTCAAAGCAGCATCATCTGCTCAAATTAATTACAATAACAACAAAGATAGCCATCCTACAGATACTTTGATAAGTAGGGTGACCATAATTCAAATTAAAATCAGACATTTTTTAGTGTGAAAGGGTATATTAATTAGACAGAATGCTGGGCCAACAGGTATAAACAAATTATCCACCCAAACCAGGATATATCATCATGCTATAGCACATCTCTTTCTTGTATATTCAAGCCATCCTTACAGAAAGTCATTCATCTCAATACAAAGTTAATATTGGCTGTGAAAGAACCAACACATATACAAGTATGTTTATAGGGAAAAAAAATCCTTCTAATGTTAAAAGTTCTTCCAGAAAGGAATGTTTATGTTAGGATATGGCTCACTGATAATTGTATGCCATCAACTACATGTGAGTAGAAAGTCTCACAATGGACAGGCCAAATTCTTTAAAAGTCTTAATTCCTAAAGGAATGGCAGGCACAAAAGATAGAGGCTAAAATCAGAGTCCCATACCACAGAGGTCAGGCACCCTCTTTTTCTTTTCCTTTTTTTTTGAACTGACACCTGACAACATAGTGGTTCCCAAATAAATCTGAAAAATACTGTGCTAAGTAAAGGTTAACAGATTGTTTTGCTTGTTCACTTTAATGCTAGAATTTCTCAGAGCCTTTAGTATATTTTTTCAATGAATTTTATTTCATATATTTGAAGTTTACAACATGATGGTTATACTGAAGCAAATTCTATCATCTCACAAAGTTACTTTTTTGTGACAAAGGCAGTTAAAATCCACTTATTTAACAAAATTCCCTGACACAATACAATTTTATTATTTCTAATGCTTATGTTGTATGTTACATCTTTGGATTTGTCTGAGATTTTGGGAAATAGAGGGTACGGTAAACAGCACAGCATAATTATAATTAACCAAAGAATCTTTTTCTAGCCCTTCTATCCAAGGGCTAGCCTTCCATGAAAAACACTTCAGGGAACATTGGTATAGGCACTAATAAATGTCCATTGCTAAAGCTATTTTCCATGTGCAATTGAGTATTTGACCAGGAGAGGGAGGATATAAGGGTGGTCCTAGCTCCGCAATACTAGACATGAACCTTAAACTGCCATTCAACTTTCCAAGCCTCCATTTCCCCCTAAATTCAAGAATTTTAACCAGCTCATCTCTTAGGTAATAGTTGGCTCTTTAATTATGTGGTTTTATGATTTGGATAGCTAACCAGCATCCAGACAACCCCTAGAACAAAACTGTTTAACATTTTCCACCATGGGACTCTTGTCTGCACTTACTTGTTAAGAGACTGAAAGGCCCTCAGCTGTACTACATTCCTAGTGAATCATACCCCAAGGGTGTGATTATTTTTGATTACCTCGTGATAGGCACCCTTTTGTCATAATTTATATCTTAATTTATGTCACTCTCCCATTAATTATGATGTCTATTTAACATCAATTAAGATACTGCAACATTAATTTATCAAGACAGTTACTCAGTTTGATGGGAATTTTGTGTTTTACATCTACTCTAAGGTTATTTCTGGAAAAGTTAAGGACCTTTGATGCACTGCAGCATCACAGAATCTAAATCTAGGTACCATCCTCTATTGAAAACTACACAGTCTGCAAAGAAGATCTTCTCTCAAGGTAGTAATCCTTTTAGAGGAAATAAACACTGCCAGGTATTTATCTCCTGAAAAAGATAGTTCAAAGGAGATTTTACTAAGAAAAATTGAGAATTAAACCCAGGAAAGTGTAGCCCAACAAGAAAATGCCTTTAAAATCTTCATATTTTTATCTACAGCTATGAAATAATCTTCAATGGAAGCATAAGAATAAAAAATTATCATTTAAATTTCAATTGGACTAAGCACTCAGGAACAAACTGAAGAGAATATTCTTTCCTTGGTTCTCAAGAAATCTATGATTTTCATAACAATGTGATGACTAGTATGAATGTAGCTCTAATAAACACAAGAACTTAGGGGATCCATTAAAGATCTGAAGTCTAAGAGACCAATGACAGCCCTGAACCACCCCCCTGTCCCTCCTCAGCCCCCTCCTGCCACCTCAGGGACTAGTGCTTACCACCTGGAAGTACTCTGCCCCATCTGCATTCTTGTATCCTGATAAGTCATCTAGAGCCCGATTTTTATCATGTAGAAATCCATACTTAGGAAAGTATTAGTGAATCACATACAAAATCTTAATATAACAAACTATGCAAATTTGTATTTCATAATTTGACCTCTTTCTATATAAGTAATAATCCTAAATTGCAACCAAATAAAATTCTGTAAGCTACTCATGACCTTTGTGAATTTATATGTACTCATAACATTAAAACCTGTATATATTTGAGTTTTATTATCAATATCACTACTATTACAAATAAAAAGCTCCTTTAACTTTTACTAATTAAACACAAGATTCACTAAAGAGTGCTATTAAAACTGCATATCCTGGATCATCAGGGGGCCCAGCATATGTAATTTTTTTGTGATGGGCAGCCTACAACAACCACACTAAGGCACTTACCTTGTGGGCAAAATGACCAAGTAATAAGCTGTCAGTAACTGAAGTATTTGCATCACTTTCCAAGATGTCAATTCCAAAATCTCTGCATGAATAAACTTGGAAGTTTTTCAGGTGAAGATTGCTACTTCTAAAAATCTATAAAATACAGCATGTTACTGCAAAGGTCTGAGGCTTGGTTTTTCTTGCAGACTTCCTGTAGCTTTTAAAAGTATTGATTAAGTATAAACAAGCATGCTATATTGTATTAAAGCACCTTTTGTCCATCAATGTCGATACAGGTATCCTAAAGTTGCTGTGAAGTCAACACTAATGAGTCTCCTTTGGTAACATCCCTTTGTACTTTTCATTTCTCCTCATAATAACCAATACATTAAAAAGATCAATGTGAATTCTCCACATATCTAAAATAAACTTGGACTGGCCAAATCACACAATGTTAATAGAGAAAAACATAGCATCCAAGAACTCTAGTGCTTAACATTTTCTTCAATGTATTATATATTAACTCATATTGTCAGAAGATTGCAAATATGAAATAAGTAGCTTGGCATGACTACAGGCTCACTGTTTGTAATTTCAACGAAAGTTATGTACATATATGTTATGATAACCCAAACAGGGTCATGTAGTAACAAAATGAGCTCAGTAGAGTTGTAAGCCTCCTACTTGCTATGGTTTATGCCTGTCCACCAAAAAGCACGTGTTGAAAACTTAATCCCTGATGTAACAGTGTTAGGAGGTATGTAGGTCATGAATGGATTAGTGCTCATTACAAAGGGACTTGAGGCTGTGAGTTCTTTCACTTGTTCCTTCTTTGCTTTCTTTGCCCTTCTGCTATAGACTGATGCAGCAAGAAGGTCCTCACAAGACACTGGCCTCTCAATCTTGGACTTCCCAGCCTCCAGAATCATGAGCTAATAAATTTCTGTTTATTATAATTTACTCAAATTTTATTAAAATGGACTAAGACACCACTTGTCAGGGAGACAGAGCTGCTCCTATGTTTACATGTTTGACCAATTTTTTTGCTAATTTTATTTATTAGTACATAATCACCCATTTTAAGTTAATTTTTTATAAGTAATATGAGGTAGGATACTAATTCTTTTGTGTGTGACTATCTAGTTGTACAAGCGCCATTTGTTGAAAAGATTATTATTTCCCACATTGAATAGTCTTGGTGTCCTTTGTCAAAAATTACTTGTTTATAGATGTGTGGGCTTTCTCTGGACTCTCACTTCTATTCCACTGACATATATGTCTATCTTTGTGCCCATATACAAATTGATTACTTGATTACTGATTACTTTTGTAATCAAGTAATCAATTTGTATATGCGCACAAAGATAAACATTACTTTTATAATCTGTCTTGATTACTTTTGCTTTGTAGCAAGTTTTTAAATAGGGAAGGATAAATCCTCTTACTTCATTTTTCTTTTTTGGTATAGTTAGAGGGAAGTTTACTTTTTAAATTTGCTGCTATTACATTGTTTAATTTCCCCCTTATTCATCCCTATAAAAGTGCAATTCCAAGAGTATTTTTATTACTTGGACTTTTTGATTGATTAAATTTGAATGTACAGAGTTCAAGCTGTAGTTCTGTATTTTTTTTCTTCACAGGTTTAACATTTCAGATTACAAAACTTCAAAAAAATGGCTTTAATAGCATCTTTTAATATTTTCATTTCACTAGATTATTTCCTCTAGAACAAGGCTATTCAAGAGCAGGGAGATAGAGTTTAAGCCCCTGCAGGCATAAACTGCATAAGGAGGCACTGAACAAATGTTTCTACTAGATTTGTTACCCCTATAATATTTATAGTGCTCATGGGAAGCATTTTATAAAATTAAATGAGAACAAAATACTAAATACATTTTGGACTCCACCTGTTAGCTATCCTAATTATATATTTGTGGGCTTTCTTCAGCCACAGTTATCTTTCTTTTGTTGGATATACGAAATAAATCTTTTACTTCCTTATTGTGACATTATTATATGTATTCTATTTCCTGGAGACTCTACAAACATATTTCTTCATCTATATTTCTTATGCTCCAGATTTGGAGACAAAGACAAAATGTATGTAATTTTGACTGTATAGCAACAGTGGCCCTGGATAACATTTACATGCTGCTGTTAAGAGTGAGCATGCAAAGCTTCCTTATAAGAAAATCACTGAGATAATGAAAATTAAATGATTGAATATGAACCTTCTTTTCTCTTTTAAGAAAAAAATAGAAAATTTAGCTTACTGACTAAAGAATGGTATCTTGAGCTAGAATGTTTGTGTTCCAATGGCAAATAGTGTTTTTCTTTAAGACTGGAGCATGTATGATTCAGGATATCAGGACATCAAATGCCAACATCTGGAGTCTAGATTCTGCACTTGGTTGTGCTACTAAGCCTTAATTTATATCTCTAAGTAGGGATGGAAAGAATAGGTAACCTCTGTGATCTCTCCTGGTTATAAATCGCTATGACTCTGCTGTTCTCTACTACAGTTGCCAAAAATGCACAATGGAGAAAATGACCTAGCTCTGGATTAGTGACTAGGAATTTGTTTAACAACTACTCTACAAGCACCTTTGATCCACTGGTTCTTTAAAACTGTGATAGCACAGCGACGCTCCCCTCAAGGGCGAGTCATTCCCATGTAAGTAGATATGCATAATGAATTGCTGTGAGAAAACAAGTGACAGTTTTAATTTAAAAACAATTAACAATAACAACAACAACGAAAACTTACCTGGGCACCACCTGCACTTTCCCAAACTGTAAAGTTCTGGAACAGGGTGGTGCCAGTGACATTATTCCAAGGTGGCTGAAATTTAGGGTATACAAAGAGACCACACCTAAAAAGTGAAACAAAGAATGAAATTAAGCCAGTTTTTATGTTTCTAACTTCTTACTTTTTCTTGTTGGAAAATACAAAATAAAAGTAACAGATAAGGGAGAGTGGAGGTAGATAGAAACCGTGACCCTTCCCCTGACTGTTCTTGCCCATCCCTCAGCCCTTCCACTTTTACCCTCTGTGACCTGCTCCGAAATCCCAACAAAATGTGGATTACTCCAGAGTCCAAGCCCACCAGCCTCCAAAGGGCTCTGCATATTTGGAAGTTAAATTGCCCTCTCTATCGAATTCTCTCTGGCCACAAAAGGTACATTCTGTCCTTCTGCCTTTTCAAGTGACTCTCTTCTCTTTTCCATCAAACTATTATGTTCTAGAAAATAAAGTTAACACAATTATATACAAAAGCCAAGACATGGAGGCAGCCAAGATGTCCATCAATAGGTTAATGGCTGGGGAAAATGTGGTGTATACTTTCAATGGAATATCATTCAGCCTTTAAAGAGAAGGAAACCCTGCCATTTGTGGCAAAGCAGATAAACCTGTAGGACACTGTGCTGGCTGAAGTAAGCCAGCCACAGAGGAGCAATAGTACATCCTATCACTTAAATGAGAAATCTAAAATATTCAAACTTACATAAGCAGAGAGTAGAATGGTGGTTGGCAGAGGCAGGGAGGAGGGGAAAATGGGAAGTATTCGTCAAAGGGTACAAAGTTTCAGTTATGCAAAATAAGTAAGTTCTAGAGACCTACCGTACAGCAAAACGTCAAAGCATAGATTACAGCAAAATTAACAATACTGTATTCTATACTTAAAAAAGTGCTAAGAGGTCAGATTGTATGTCAAATATTCTCATAGTAATAATTCAAACAAAGAGGGCTGGAGGAAAGCTTTTAGAGGTGACAGATATGTTTGTGGCATAGATGGCGATGATAGTTTCAGGGGTTATACTTATCACCAAACTCATCAGGTTGTACACATTAAACATGAACAGCTCTTTGTACGTCAGTTATACCCCAATAAAGCAGTTTCAGAAAATACTTACATAGGAGCACCACCAAGTCTCAAACAAATGCCAAAAGAGCATTACACAGAAAAATGCGAAATCATAAGACTCACAGCCAAAATGTAGATGAATTTCCACAAAGTTACCTGGTACAAGAATGTGCAATGTTCTGAGTGAAGGAAAGAAGTGGAGCTCGTGATGTCTGGCTGGTCACGAGATGGAAAAAGTAGCCATAGCCAGCAGCACACACTCTGTTCCCCTACAGAAATTAAGGAGAGTTAAAAAATAGATATCCCATGTGTGGTAAGTTTGCTGAAAAGAAAGACTCTTGTTTGTACTCATCCCACTTTTACATTCACTTTCTGTCAAAGTACATTAGTATTTTATTAAAAACTCATTTATTCTTTTTTTTTACTTTCAGAAACAAAAATACTGATACGGTTTGGATCTGTCTCCTCTGCTTATATCTCATGTTGAACTGTAAAACCCAGTATTGGGGTAGGGCCTGGTGGGAGGTGATTGGATCATGGGGTTGGTTTTTCATAAGTGGTTTAGCACCATCCACCTGGGTATTGTTCTCACCACAGTGAGTGAATTCTCATGAGATCTGGTCACTTAAAAGTGCATAGCACCTTGTGGCCCCCACCCTGTCTCGCTTCTGTTCCTGCCATGAAATATGCTGCTCCTACTTTGCCTTCTGCCATGAACAAAGACTCCCTGAGATCTGAGACCTCCCCAGAAGTTGATGTTCCGTGTTTCCTGTATGGTCTGAAGAACCATAAGCCAATTAAACCGCTTTTCTTTATAAGTTACACAGCCTCAGGTATTTCTTTATAGCAATGTGAGAATAAGCTAATAAAAATATTATCATTCTTCTTCCTCCAACCAGATCAACTAGATGCAATTTTCCCATCTTAATAACTGGTATCTCATGTTCAAGCCTCCTTCTGAGATACCACAGTGAGAAGTTTACTTATAACATCTAAGATTCTCTCTTTTTTTATTTTATTTTATTTTTTCCCATTTATTTTATTGCATTTTAGGTTTTGGGGTACATGTGAAGAACATGCAAGATTGTTGCATAGATACACACGTGGCAGTGTGATTTGCTGCCTTCCTTCCCATCACCTACATCTGGCATCTCTCCCCTTGCTATCTCTCCCCAGTTCCCCACCCCCCACTGTCCCTCCCCTATTTCCCACCAACTGACCCCAGTGTGTAGTGCTTCCCTCCCTGTGATAAGATTCTACTGTTTTGTGAATTCAAGAGTATATGGTTGCTCTCCAAGGCAAAGGTGTACCTTGAAGTCAAGCCTACACAATATGTCTCTCTGGTTCTTTGAACAAATCAATGATTTGTCTACAGGCTGAAGGCCACATGATTGGACCTTAGTTCCAAGACAAAGTGACTGAGTTCAAATACAGCTCAAATCTCTTCAAAGTGCTTTTGTCCTGATTACACTATTAAGTTATCTTAATATTTCTTTATAGGTCTTACTATCTAAATAATGTATTTTATGTGTTCATATAAAATCTGACTTCTCTCTATTGGACCATATAAGTTTGGGGATCTAATTCTGATCAAGCTGAACAGAATGAGGTTATCTTTATAAATTCAGTGGAGTACCTACAATATGTTTATCCATACGTAATATATTGTTAAGCCAGAATAGAAAACCAACTTCCTAAAGGTACACAAATGCTGGGTTTTTTTTTTTTGTTTGTTTGTTTTTTTGGACTACTCAATGCTTACATTTTTTTGTTTCCCATGTGTTTGAACCAATAGGCTTACTACAAAAATTCAGATTTTCAGCTTTTCTGAGCCCAAAATCGTATCAGGTAGCCACTGGCCAGCTGAAGATAAGAAGGGCCTGCCTTCTTGGTAATGGATCATTTTTCCACAGTCCTCACCCTCTTGTTTCACTCATTTATGATGCCTTTCTAGTCTCTGCAGTATTTGAATTTGCAACCTCAACTACAGGCAATGATGTAAATGACATGTTGGCTCTTCTATGTAAGTTTCTATTTCTCCTTTCCTGAATCACATCTGAGTTCTCTCAGTGTCACACTCTCACATCTCAAGGATCCCAAGCCCTCTCTTTACCATATCAGGGAGAAAAAACTTTGAGAAAAATTAGAGGCCCTATCAGGCTGCTACACTGCAGTGATGCTATTAGTGGGAGAAATGAAGGACTAATTGATCAAGTTGTGGGAATAATTCCTATGTGTTCATGTGACCTCTCTCAGCCTGCGTGGCTGTCCAGAGCCAAGATGCCCATGTCTTCCTGGAGAACAGAAGTTAACGAACAGGCTGCTCAGACGTAAGGCTTGTGCTACATGTATTTAGTCTCCAAGGCTCCCACATGATTCATCCCTGATCACCTGGGGGTTTTTCATGGCCTGCTGGTGTAAGACAAAGAATGCCTGGAGTGTCCTCTCTAGAAGTCACTTAATCCAGGGAACACAAACTATGGGGTTTTGAGAGCTCTTTCTGAACACTGGCAGCAGGGTCACAGAAAAGGGAATGGGGAGTCATAAGGACTGCGACACTCAACAAGATATTTAATGTCTGTCTTTAAAAAACAATACTTCAGTGAAGCCCTCTATGTGGGTCTCAGTGGGGACCACACTGTGAGCATCCCCTAGGAACAGTTTCTTAAACTTTAGTGTGCACCCTAGTAGAGTTGTCATATTTAGCAAATAAAAACACAGAATGTCCAGTGAGGTTCAAGTTTCAGATAAAAATAAAATGTTTTAGTATAAGTATGTCCCAAACACTATCTGAAATTTAAATTTGACTGGATATGCTGTATTTTATCCAGCAACCTTCACCTGGAGGTATATGAGACAAAGATTCTTAGATATTCTGATTTAGTAGTAAGGTGATGAGGAAGGGATGAGGGACAGTATTTGCTACTCTTGGGCATCACAGGGTACTCAGATAGGTCTGCTGCAGGTGATATTTTGAGCCCATTTTGAGAACTACTTCTCTAGAGGTGATTGAGAGAGTAATGCTAAGAGTTACTAAGGGTCCTAGGAGATGTTCAAAGAGGAGAGAGACACTAGAAAAACTATTTCCTGGAGATTTTTTTTTCCCATGAGTTGCTTTGGAAACCCACTGCAAATGGAAGTGACTGCTGAAAACTGAAAGTGGATAGAGACCTAGAATATCAGAATACTGTCCCTCATCCCTTCCTCATGACCCCGCTACTAAATCAGAGTATCTAACAATCTTTGTCTAATATACCATTGCTAGATACCCAGCAAAAACATTGCCCAGCTCAGTGCAAGTTACATTTATGTTGAACTTTTTCTTTTCCTTAGAAGTACTTACTTTTTAAGTTATGATGGAGCAGAATAATAATAGTCATACTGAAAAATCTATAGAGAAGGTGCTACAGTCCAGGCACTAGATTCTAGAGTCTCATTTATTTTTACAATAGTTTTATGAGTTTTGTATTATTATTGCAATTTCATAGCAAAGAAACTGACACTCAGAGGTGTTGAGTAACTTTCCCAAAGTCACAGAGCAAATAGTTGTCAGAGTCAGCTCCATCCAAGTCCAAGCCTGGAAAAGTTAGGGACTAGAGTAGAGAAATGAAGGTAGGACTCAAAGGCAGGATGCCCAATAATAGGGTGTAAGTGAAGAAACATAAACAAGGGAGTACAAAGCAGAATCTTGTCACTAGGTCATGGGCAGAAGAGGCATTTTCTGTGGCCTCCCCAATAGTAGAGACAGCAAATTGAACAACATCCTTTGCAGAAGTCAATGTAACATGGACATTCAAGCAAGGGAAATTCCAGAGAGAAATTAACCATCCAACTATGCCAGCTCCTAAAGGTGTGCATCTATTGTCACAAAAAAAAAAAAAAAAAAAAAGTGAATTAATCCTGAAAGCACCAGAAGTAGCGTTTGATATTGCTATATATCAAAATATAAGACACTGGGGGTAGTGTTTGGTTTCTCCAAACCTGGAGAGCATTTTGCAGGTCAGATTTAATTAAGGAGTTGCTCTTTCCACACCCCAAATCCAGAGAATATAAACTCCTTCTCATTCTTACCGCATGGGGAAGAAAGCATGCACAGCTTAGAGTGCACAGAAAGATACATGGGTAGGGGTGTGGGACATTTCCCAAGAGTAGTCAGGAAGAAGACATGACATTTTGAAGAGTACATTTAAGGAGGTGGGGTTTCTGAAATTTCAGCATTATGGAGATCCAGTGTTATCAAGGCTCAGACATGTTGATGAGGACCGGCTTCTGACACAGGAATTTTGAGCAATGAAGATGAAAAGACTGATTATCTGCGATTGTCTTCTATTGTCAATGCAGACAGTAGGGATATGGACTGGATGCAGACAAGAGGATTTAATGAGGAAGTTCTGACCTATCCAAGGACAGGGTCTTGCACGGGTCTTTCACACAGCTCAGGGAGTTTTACTACATTCTCAGTAAGGATGGATCGAAAGTGAGGACTCCATACCTTTTTGCTTATAGCTATTCTCTGTGACTTTATCCTTAGACTGAGTAAACTCATTTCATCCCATGGTTTCAGTCATTCTACACTAATATTTCTATTGATCTTAATTTCCACATGAAAGGACAACTTTAGATATTATTAAAGGTAACTCCCTGAACCTGGCTAATCCACTGGCAGTCATGATATAGTGGCACCCCCAACGGGAAGAGAACTTAAAGACCCTATTCCTTCCTGAATGTACCACATGTTCCACAAGGAACACACACACACACACACACACACACACACACACACACATATTCAGCCAAGCAAAGACAATATGGGGGAGAAAACTGAAACAGATTGCTCTTAACCCAATAATGCTCAACTCCCTGCCTTGCGTAAGAGAAAGAACGAATGCCTCAACCCCTGGAGGCCTTCAGTTTTGGGGGAAGTGTAAGTCAGGGCCAGAGTTCACCCTGACACTGGAAGCCTGACCAGCAGGCAACAGCCAGGACCTGGTCAGGGAGGCCAGCACATGCCAACACAATCGCCCCAGGCTGTTTACTTAGTTCTGGCTTCTATGCACTGTGGGTCCCAAATGTTCTCTTACCCTGGGTATTTGTAAATAGCCATTCCTTCCTCATTTTTCATTTAGTTACAAGATGTTTTGTTCCTTTGTGAACTAATTGGCCCACTCTCTCCTGCCTTCATTATTTTGGAGTCTGAGCAATTCTTCAATTTCCTAAAAGCACTTAGAATTCTAATCACGTGCCCCACCTACCACATGGTACTCATCAA